TTTGTAATTTAAATTATCAAAACTTAAGAGGGGGCCAATTTTTTTTATCACATGTTAATTTTTTTTTAATAGTAAAAATAATATTTATTAATAAATGGAGTAGTACCTCAAACCCATAAACATTATAACTTAAAAAGCATCATATTACATGAGTAGAGTAACTTTTCGTATGGTGTCAACTCCTGAGATATGTGTCAACACTACGTCCGTGTCGGAGTTTTGGATGTTTACCATATGGTGTCGACACTAAAAGTATGTGTCGACACCATACCGCGTCGAATTTCTGCCTCCTTTGCAGTTTCTTCATATGAGCCCATCAATCTTATTCACATAACAATTGGCTTTCTCCATTTTTATCACATGTTAATACAATAATATAATTATAATATATGTAATATAAGAGATGACCTGCTTAGAAAAAAAATTATAAAAGAGGACTCAATATGAAATATGATATTATAAAATTAAATTATTTCATTTGCTCAAATTATAAGAGTTAATAGAGGAAAAATTAACAAATAAGAAAATAATTTAAGTTTTATTGATCTAAAATAATTTTATAATTAATGTCATAGTTTTATTGATCATATATTATAATTAATGTCATAAAATTCTTGTTTTATTTATTTATTGATTTACTAAGAGAAATGATGAACCTTTCCAATATGTTTGGATTGATGCCCCTTTTGTAATATTGACTCCAACGAGACATTAAGGTTCAGTTTGCTCGACCCCCTGTATCTTTTTATGTTTGTATGAATGAATTTTCATATTCACCTTTAAAAGATGAGAAATGCTGTAACTTGAAAAACGGTGTAATTTTAGTCCTGCCTACACGTTTAATTTTGATCATAACTACACATTTTGTCTTTTTTCAGACGGTGCAATTTTGTTCCTGTCACTTATCTACATGTTTTACTTTCTTCTAGACCTCTGTGTGCATTTGGCTACACTTCTTTTGAAATGTATTTCTGAACTCGCATCCCTAATAGTGATTGCAGCGAACTTAAAAAAAAAGGACTTAACAAAATTAAAGTTACTAAATAGTTTTTTTTTTTAACATAATTAGTTATTTAGTAATATAAAAATTTAAATTT